GGGCAGCCCCCAGCACCCGCAGCCGGGTGGGATGCCGCGGGTCGCAGCTCGTCAACGCGCATCTGGCAGGGCAAAAAAAAAAATAAATAAAATCAGCTCTGCGGATCCCTGAAGTCACGGTCGGGCTGAAAAACCCCCACTGGCGAAGGTGTTGGTGGGTCTGGGGCTGGCGTTATCTCTAAGTCTTGGCACAGAGAAGGTATTGGTGCAATGGGATGCAAATGTGCTTTTATTACAGTTGTTAATTACACAGCAAAAAGTCGCCACTTACATAAGTCAAAAGGCAGCGCTGCTCTGCCTCCGCCGGGCTGCAACCTCCTCTGGCTCCCTGGAATCCCGGCTGCTATCTCCCTGCACTCCTCCTCTATTGACTCAGCAGGAAATCCTGTATAAACCCATCAAAAGGACAGGGACAGCCTTATGGGAAAGAGAGGGAGTTCCTTCCCTGGAAATGAGATAAAGAAAATGCCGAAAGGCAGCACAATGGGTCAGCTTTATCACAGGGTAATCCCATCATCCTGAATTCCTTTCTGCCCGGGGGGGAGGGAAGAGACAGGAAGACACTTCCCAAAAACCTAATAAAGAGAAAGATACATTTTTTTATCCCGAGGGTGTTTTTCACCTCTGAGATCAGGAACACCTCTGCTCGGTTTCAGCACTAACACTGCTGTCTCTCAGGGTCCCATGTGTAGAAATGGAACGGAGCAAACTTTAATCCCTGAAGATTAGTCTCCATCAGGGAAAGGAGAGGGACTCCTCTAGAAAAGCATCCAGAAAAAGAATTTAACATAAGCAGGTCAAACTCCCGGGCAGTTTTAAGCCTTTAAATTATTACTGCTTTGTCAGGGCCCTATTTGCAATAGGAAGCAGTTGTAGAGTTATTCCTCATTTTACTACACACGGGAGCACTTCCTTTTTTCTACTCCATGGATGACGTTTTCCCAGTTTTGAGGTCACAGAGTACCTGCATTTTGTCTTAACAAAGAAACATCCCTCTGAACCCCCCTTTGAAGTGCTTTGTATTCTCAACCAGCTCGTACTGCCGGGAACAACCACAACACGGCAGAGTATTTTTTGGAATTCACAGCAACACCTACCAAATACAGCTCCTACTGCTACACTGAGCCACCCCAGCGAGACAGACCGTGAGGCAGATCCCACCTTCACCAACATGTTCTCTTTGCCGTTTGTGGATTTCACCTACAAACTCGGCATTCCTGCAAAATGGAGAGCATGAATAATTCAGCACGGGTGAGGATGGCATCTTAAGGAGGCAGGATGAGGCCACACAACCTGAATTTGTTCAATCACCAACATCTGCTCTACTTAATGCAGAACAGGACTTAGCTCAAAGGCCTGACAAGCTCAGAGGCAGAACATCTTTATTTGTGAGGCTCTCAGTTCTTCTCTGTCCGTAAAAACCACCCTATTTTTATGGCTCATCGCACAGTATCCACAGGGTTTGCCTGCCCTAAGGGGGCTTCACGTGAAGCAATGCTCATAACTCATCTCTCCACAGGGAAAATGCCAGGTGCAGAACATCCATCCTGCATCTGAAGTGCTCAGGAATGAAACACTGCCACAACCTGCCTCTGGGGAGACTGAGCAGAAAACAGTTCCACGCAGATCTCTAACCTGGGAGGGGGAACAGCTGGGATATGGACCTTGCAGGTCAGAAGTTATCCAGCTCTAAAGTCTTTGGGTATGTACAGGGGAACTAAACACAAACATCACTTGCACTTGATCACATCTGCTTCTCAGCTGCCACGGTAATACCACTGAGAAGCCATTACATAAAGCCAGCTCAGACAAAATGCAGGATTTCTGGCAGCACTGCTCAACAAAGGATAAATCTAAAAAGAGATTCTCCCTTTTTTACTGTTTTTGCTTAAAATAATTTGGCATTAACCAAGGCTTGAGGAGAAGTAGCACCACATTCTGGATGCGAGGCTCTGGGATGAGCATGTCTGAAAGCCAGCAGGCACTTCTAATTAAAGATACACTGAAAAGACAACAATCAAAGTTACAAGTAAAACCACCACTGCATATGCTTTTCATTTAAGCACCGGTAAGTAAATGTATATATAGATGTTATCATTCCTCCTGGGGAATCCAAAGTGCAAAGCAGAGAGCTCAAGCAGAGAGAAAGGCAGGTGTCATTACATGAAGCTGTAACACAAGCAGAATGATTCCATTCCAAGCCTTTCTGCCACAGCATTTGGAGGCTTTACAGGCATAATCTTTGGGAAAATACATTGTTCCAATCCAAAAGCAAAAAGTAAGTGACATGCAGCTAACACCTTTTCCATATTTTCATGTGTGCCAAATCACTTGATCTTTTTGTCCTTTCCTGCAGCCCTGCAAGCATCTCTTTATTCTACTGAAATCCTCTTGAAAAATAAAATAGAAGACAGAACAATCCAACACATCCCTTTTATTAATTTAAAAAACATGGAAGAAAAGCAATAGGGAAAAGTTTTAGCAATAAAAAAGGGATCCCGATTAAAAATCTATAGAACTTGTCTAGCAACATAAACTGATTTCTTTGGGTTAGAGATGACCCCATACAAAACCCCAAATTCAGAACACTCACAGTGCAGGAGAGTCTGGCTACAGACCACTTTTCTACTTCAGGTTGAACTCTTCCCTTAGATTCATGTATCCCACTGCTACCAGCTCCGCCATAAGTAGAATACGTAGCCTTCACAGTAATATTTCCCTTAAATGGTAATGGATATGTTTTAGCTTTCAGACAGAAAAACACTCTGGGCCATGTTAGAAAGAACTCCAGGGTCACAGAGACTTATGGCTGACTCTTTAGAGCAAACTTAGAGCAGACTGCACAGCAGTTATACAGGCAATTAAGAAAAAAATCTCTTATTTGGCATTTCTCTATCACTATCTCTCGGGCCTGTGACGTGAAGGCCATGCCCCGTTAAGCAGATGTAACGTACGGCCAATGGGTTCTGCTTGGCTGAGATGAAAGGCTTTCATGCTCCTGGATATAAAGCAATGAACAGTGCTTCCAGCTGTCCCTGAAAGGCCTCATCCTCTTCCCATCACAAAACTTGGCTCTTCAGCGTCATCTTCCTTCTCTTCCTCCTCCTTGCTGTCCTCTTCGTCGTCCTCGCTGCTGCCTCGCTCTTGGGACTGATCTGGTTCTACAAAAACAAACAGGGTGAATCCATAAGGTGTTCCCACCTGTCTTCCTTCTCAAGTATTTCACAACAAAACAGTCCCAGGTGCTAAGGAAACGTGTATTATTAGGTCATGCTAATTAGCACGGGTGGATAACATGGATAACATATTCCCCTGTGTCTTCCTTGTTAAGTATCTCACAACTAAGTAGTCCCAGATAGTCAGGAAACATGTATCAGATTATATTCATTCTACCGAGCGACAGGGAGCTCAGAATATCAAATTCCCCCTTGGAGAAATATTCCCTTACCTCCAGTGTTACCAAGTCCACCTCCTATAGAACATTATTTCTTTAAACAGAGGTAGTCAAACACTGGGGATGATGGATTATCTCATTCCCAACCTCTGCAGGTTGGCATAAACTTTCAAGGATCACAGAGTACTGTTACAGAGCACTGGGAAACCATGGACAAGACTGAGTATATTCCTACACCTATCCCAAGTCACAGAAACTCCACAGGGTGCCATAAACTTTTACAGACTGTTTGCTATACTGCAAGTACAGGAACCCATTAAGATATGCCTAAGGTTAACAAGGGTCACAGAAAACTCGTGAGGCCTGCTGAAAGACCAGAAAACACTTACTAGAAATTAAATAACCAATCATGAAAATGAGCTACAGCATCAAGTGGGACCTGAATCTGACTTTTTCTGCTCTTTACTGTTGCTCAGGCCCAGTCAAGCTCACACGTAGGATTTAGGCTCAGTGGTCTGATGCCACCGCGTGGTGAAGTTCTGAACTTTCATTTTGTCTTAGGGGTTTGTACAATAACCTAACTTTAACAGCTGACCTGATTCGCTGCCAACCCTTATTGTGAATGTATTTACTACAACAAAGGTGAAAGATGGCAATTCAGAGGTTTTATTCGTTCATTCAAAAAGGAAGATAAATGCTTGCCTACTACATACAACAAATGCACTTCAATTAATTTGGGAAAATTCAGATCTCAACCAGGGCACACAAAACTAGAAAAAGAAAAGACTGTTCTCAGTAGACTAGAGATGGCTATCAGGGGCTTCTGTCTCTACTGGTATTATTATCATTGTTATTACTACTACTACTATTATTATTATTTTACATAGAGAACCACAAACTGTAAAGAGTTAAAAATGTAATAAAGACAGGGGAGTTTGGATTCTTTCAGGAACTTGTGCCAAACAAAACCACTCCAGCCCCACAACTGGTGCCACGGCAGTGCCAGTCCCTGATCCAGCTCTCCTCTCTCCCAGCCACTCCCTAAAGGGATGGGTATTCTCTTTTGTTCACTCAAAATGAACAAAAGTATGTTGACTCATACTTAAATCCTCCTCCTAGTTACAAGTCATAAATGACTAGCTTAAAAAAAACCAAAAAACAGAACAACAACAAAACACCCAAAAAAACCTACTCTGCTACATCCACTTGCTGTCACAAGTAAAATTAACCTAACAAGTAATTTGTCCTCCCGTGTTTACATGGGAGGTTGGCAATGGTTCAGCTGAAAGAGATCCAATTCTGAAAAGCAAAGCAGAATTAAGGTAGAACTGTCAGACAAGTCACTGTTCCAGCAGAATCACCAGCAACTGCTGTAACTTTAAGAATGACTGCAGTTAGTGAGCTAATCCACAAAGGACAACTATTTGAAGGAGTAAGCTAAAATAAACTCACTGAAAAGAAGCAACAATGTGCAAAAGTTTGAGCAAACAGTTACACTGATGTTTGCTGAACATTAATTTCAACACTGCAGGAGGACAGAGGCAGTCAGGTTTCCCATGTTTATTTCTATGCAAATAAAATAGTCATGTGGAACAGATGGCACCAAGGTGGCTCAATTTCTTACACACACAATCATAACTCAGTTTCTTGCTGCCCAAGCTGTGCATTTTTTTCCACCTGCTTTCTCCATAAGCATTCAAAATATACATAAGAGAAAAGCACAGCCTCGAACAATACTGCCTTTTTGAGCAGATGATGTTCTAAATCTGCAGTTTGTCAGAATAGCTGGGGCAAAACATCCACAAACAACCAAATCCAATGTTTGCTGTCCAAAATTTCCCCTAATAAAAGGAAAATATTCACAAACAGCCAAGTTATTTGTAAGATTAAATCTCAACATAGATGGCTTTCAAAGAGGATTTTGAAACATTAGCTAAAATAACAAGCTTAAGGCTCAGGCTTCAATCCATGTATTGAGAATGCTTGGGGTGGGGGGGGGTGGAAAAAAACCCTTCTAGGCTTCAATTAGGGAACAGAATTGAGTCTTGAGGAAAGAAAACTAAATTTCACTGACCTTTTTCCTGCTTCTTTTGTTCAAGTTTATTTTTCTTAGCTTGCAGCTTCTTCTCTTTTAACTTCTGGCTATAAAGCAAAGAAAAAAAAAACTGTGACAAATCCTACCTTTGTAAAGCTTCTGAACATTCATACACTGATAAACGACACATTGGAAAACCTGATTTCAGAAGAGAAGTTCAATTTAAATTTGGCCTTAACTGAAAATTCAGCAAGAGCAAACTTAGCACACGATCAACAGAAACTTTTCTATGTTGTTTTTAGTCTAAGGGATCTTTTAAAAGTCTTCCATGATGCCACTGCAACCCAAACTATATGATACACAATAATCTCCAAGAACACAGATGGAACAAAAATGAAACTGCTCATGTATTTTAGCTACCTAGGCTAATGAACAAAAAGAGAAAATGGTGTCAAAACCTAGACTGCTGGGATTGAACATTGGGGAAAAAATATCACCAGTAACATATACTTTAATTGAAAAAAAAAAAAAAATTTAAAAAAAATAGTGCAGTATGCTTTGACCTTCCTCTTTGGCTGTACTTCCTGGGGATATTGGGTCCTTGGAACAACACTAGGAGTAAGAGGGAAAGTCTGTTCATAGAACCCAGTTTTGTTTGCCCAGAAAAGGCAATCAGGCAAGTTAATGTCAGACACAGGCAGAGCAGCCTGGGATTCATGTTCCTCTCTCACCACCATAAGTGAATTCTCTTGAAACAGAGAGCCAGGTAGTGTTAGGTCAGGACAGAAGAGAAGGGTGGTGAGGGAAATCAGAGGGGCTCCTACAGGACAAAGCCACTTGGGTCCTGCACCATTAGACCATAGAAGGGGGACAAGGAGGTGTTAGTGTTTAGGCAGCATCTGCTGTTGGAACAGTTGTTCTCCCTCTCAGCCAGGGAAGAGGCAGCAGGCCAGATCTGACTTGGTGGCCATCTGTTGGACCACATTAAATTAAACTAAGATGGCAACAGTGTTTGTGTTGAGCACTTTTGTGCTAATATGGCAGTGAGTCACTTTGCACAGGCCTTTCCACAGCAGCTCTCAGCCACAGGATGCAAAGCAGCAAGGGAGAGGCTGCTCAGGGTCAGACAGTGTGAAAGAGCCGGGCCATGATACCCTGCTGTTTCTGAAATGTGTGGTGGATAAAGACACTGGGATTTAAATTCCTGTATCAATGCACTACGATGTTCAGGCTACTTCTTGAGAGCATCAATCTTGTAACTGTTTCACTGTGTCTAGAATTTAAGAGCAAGATGGATTTAATATTTTTTAATATTTTCATTTAACCTACTAGACTTGACCTGCAGGCAGAAGTGGCCTATCCACTAAGCAGCACACAGTTTTGCACTGAAGCTGCTTGGTATCAAGGGATTCAGATGTTCATTTAAGCCAGATATAAACACAAACCTTTCCTGACACTGTTACAACAAATATGCAGTAAGGCACGTTGCAGTCAAGACCACAGAGTCAGCAAAAGCTGCTCAACCAGTCCAGAGTTATCCTGCCAGTGATGACATGGAGAAGAAACCACGCCAGCAAAGCCTGTCAGGTTTACAGCTACCTTTAAAAACCAAACAATGACACTGACAAATTTAATTTCCACAGCCAGACTTCCCAGCTGATAGATGCAGACACAGAATGACAGTGTTTATCCAAAGCATGCAGCTACAGATGAGGCACAGGGTGTGAGGGTTTCCATGTCAAGCCTCCTGGGAAAAATCTGCCCTTACCGCTTCCTTCTGCGTTTTGCTGTTTGCTCTTCTGCAACCATCTTATTCCTCTCCAGTTTCTTCTGGAATTCCTCATCTAGTCTTTGCTGTAATTGATCACATGTCATACTTTGGTCACAATCTAAATTAAAATACTTCTTTTAAAAGTCATGTCCTTTTAGGGAGAAATCTTTTAGCAAAATACAGAAGGGAGCTCTGCCAGATTTTGCCTGGCTTCTTTATACAAAGCCATGTCCCAGGGATGACTGCTGTACAGACAGCACTTTTAACCTATACCCTGAGCCAAACACTGAAACCTTCTGAGGGAGGAATCCTCACCAGAACAGGTGAGGAAGGTTGGGCTTTTGCTTTAATGAATGTTTCAGTAAAAACAAGTGAATAACTGGAGACATAAACATTAACATATGGATCAAAGGACTCGGCCAAGAGAGAGTATAACAATAATGTTGTCTGAAAGAGAGGCCATTCTACTTGACCAAGCCTTAAAAGAAACATCTGAACTCCGTTCACAGGCACTTGCCTAGATTCTCTCTAGGCAAGACAGTGATAATATAAGGGATTTCTAGTTTTAAAGCATTTTCAAGCCAACCTGAGAACACACACACTCACGTGTCTTACTGTGTGCTAGGACCCCAGGGAACACAGGAGATGGAGCATGTCTGACACAAAGCACCAAATGTTTCAGTACTGACACAGACGCCACGTTATCACACACTCCTACAGACTCCTCTGACAAGGGGTGGCTCAGAATGGGATTATTTGTACATGACTTTCAAAGAAAACACAGATTTGCAGCGAACACCGAATATTGGGGGGTGAGGGAACTATAAAGAGCTGTGCTGACCTTCTCAGCCATGGCATCCATGAAATCCTGCCTCTGGTACTCTCGCCGCCGGAGATGCCGGTACACGTGGAACTCCCCGCTCCCGGCTCCAGCACTGGAACCTGCAGCAAAGAAGGGGTAAATCTGCTAGGAAAGAATGTGCATAGATTCTCACAAATAACTACAGCTAGAGATGAGCTAAAGCATCCTATTGAAGCTGCTTCTGACTGACTTTCAGCATATCTCACACAAAAAATAAAGGTCAACAGAAAGGAGATAAACCCCATCGTATTGTACTCTCCCACACAAGACAGATACCACTGACAGTTTCTGACTGTTTCTTCACAAATGAAATGCCCACAGCTCTCTCTTCCTGGCATCAGCCTGCATGTTGAAGCCTCATAGGAGCTTTCAACATCACTCTCCATTCTCTTCCTCTGTCTGCTGAGCCATTTCTCGAGGCAAAGCACAGGAATACAAGCCTCAAAGAAGACACCTAATTAAAACACAGCAGCTGGGACTGCAGCACGGGTGCTCTTGATACCAGCAGAATCCCAGCATGTCAGGTGCTCCCAGAAAAACAAGACAGTTTGACTCAAGCACACAGCAAAGCTATTTGAAAAAGCCATGAGGGGATTCCAATAGGCAGAAGAGTTTATCCCAAAGCATATAAAAACTTCAGTCCAAGATCAATTATTCTGAGATAAGAACAAGTCAACCTCTAGGAAGGATGAAGGTCCCAAAGAAAGACAGAACTTCTACATGCAGACACAGTTTATACCACAACTACTATATTTAATCCCTGCAGGTAAAAGTAAAGTATAAGCAGAGTATTGAGGTCAGGTTCCTTGCACAGCTGCCAGCTCCCTGCCTGACCACACAAAACCATACCTGCTGCACGTGCCTGAGATCCAGGCTGAAAGCAGCCACAAGAAGGGCTTCATAACTGTAAGCTTCCAGAGCACTCTCAGATCAGTGGGAAAGACAGATCTACTTATCATCATTTACTTGTCATCACCAGAGCAGCAGCTTATTGCACTGCAGGCAGCCCACGTGCTGCAGTGCCACGGGCTTTGTTCACTTTGCATCCTGACTACCGGCAGAAAAGCGGGACCCAAGAACCAAATAAAACTCGAAAAAGCAACTCTCGAAGCACATTTCACACCTCTTTCCTCCAGCAAAATGAGCAAACTGAAAAACCATCTCTGTCCTCCCCTGTTAAACACTTTTCTGAGTTAAATGTGGCTGACCCCAGAGATATCTGAAGAACAGAATCTTTACCCATCACGTCTCTAACGAACTCCGGGGGAGGTCGCGGTGCCCATTCGTTCAGTTTTTCAGGGATTGGTACAGTCTTTTCCTGCAAGAACAAACCAACCAGCCATCAGTATCTTCTAGGAGCAAAGTCTGCAATTTTAACACATTGTTGAAAGGCGGGACATGTCTGACAACAGCCTCTTCCATCAGCTGACAGATCTCAGAAGGAGCACAGCTGCAGCCATTTCTTCACGCACAGGGACCAGGAGCAGGCAGAAGAGGAGAATCAGAAGGGATCCTCTCTGTCCCTCACATTCAGGCCTGCAGGTCAACAAACCCCGGGAGGATTAGGAATGTCTGTGCTTCTTTTCGGTATGGAAACCAGGTGGAAGCATGTCAGCACCTCCAAGCACTCGCAGGAGCTGAGTCTACTCCCACTACCAGTAGTCTGGGAAGTGATGAAAGGCATTTGTGCACCTTCCATGCCAGATCTAGAGGACAGGAAAGAGCAGGGGAGGGAGAACACATGGTGCAAGGTCAGAGGAAGAACGAGGTGCAGGGACATCTCAGCTGCTCCAGCACACACAGGGCACGGCTGAGAGTCTCCTCCTGGCAAACACCTCCTCGGGAAAGGATCGAAACACCCAGTTAGAGGAACTGGGGCCATTAAAAGCAGTGGGCAGAGCAAAGGTCAGAGGGCAGAGCACTGAGGGGCCAGTCCTCCCCATGGGTCCCCAGAGAAGGGTCTCTCCCCTCACAGCACCCCAGAAAAGTCCCTCTCCCATTATGACAAGCCGGTGTGTGGGGCAGGTGTCGGTCCCTCTCCCCTCGAGGACCTAGGGAGGAGAAAGGGGCGGGGGGTGTCAATCTGTCTCCCTTCATGGAACCGGGAAGAAGGAAGGGGAGGTCGGCCCCTCTCTCCTCACAGACCCCGGGGTGGCCGTGCCGGCCCCTCTCCCCTCACGGACCTTGCAGGTGCAATGGGGGGGTCTCGGTGTCCCTCTCCCCTCACGGACCCTGGGTGTGTGGGGGTCTCGTTGTCCCTCCTCCCCCCTCCCGGCCCCGCCGCCCTCACCGGGTTCCTCATGAGGCGCTCGAGGCGGAGGCGCTGCTCCTCGGCCGCGCTCCGGGGGATGACGAGCGGCTGCGGCTCCTTGCGGGCCGGGCGGCCGCGGGGCCGAGGGCGCCGCCATGTTCCAGACCTGGCCGCGCCCCGCCCCCGCGTGACGTCACGGCCGCGCGACGCTCCCCCGGCCCGTCATGGCGGGTCTGGCTGAGGGCCCGTGAGGGGACCTGGGGGGGACGGAAAAGGGCTTCGCGGGGCCCTCACCGCGAACAGTTCGTAGAATCACTGAATGAATTAAGTTGTAAAATACATGGAGTCCCAACTGTGACCGAACACCACCCTGCCAACAACACCAGAGCACCGAGTGCCATGTCCAGTCCTTTCCTTAAACACCACCAGGGACGGTGACTCCGTCACCTCCCTGAGCAGCCCCGTTCCACTGCCTGACAAACCCTTCTGTGAAGAAATTCCTCCTGATGTCCATGCCCTGCAGCCTGGGTGGGGGCCGAAGGCACAGAGTCACAGAACGATAATTCACAGAATCAAGGAATTGTATGATTGAAGGGGCCTCTGGAGAGGCCAAGGCAGGGTCACCCAGAGCAGGTGACACAGGAACGTGTCCACGTGGGTTTGGGATGTCTCCGGAGAGGGAGACTCCACACCCTCCCTGGGCACCTGTTCCAGTGCTCTGCCACCCTCAACGTGATTCTGTGAGGGCACAGAGTCACAGAAAGATGGTTTGGCTCAGAAGGGACCCATTCCAACCCCTGGCTCCAGCACCATCCCCTGAGCTTGGCACTCAGGGCTGTGTCCAGATGGCTTTTGAGGGAGACCCCACACCCTCGCTATGCAGTCTTTGCCAGTGCTCCATCACCCACACAGTGAAGAGTTCTTCCTCATAGAATTGCACAATGGTTTGGGTTGGAAGGAACGTTAAAGCTCATCTTGTTCCACCCCTCTGCCATGGGCAGGGACACCTTCCACTACCCCAGGTTGCTCCAAGCCCCATTCAACCTGGTCTTGAATACTTCCAGGGATGGGGCAGCCATAGCTTGTCTGGGCAGCCTGTGCCAGTGCCTCACTACCTTCACAGGGAATAATTTCTTCTCAATATCCCATCTAACCCTGCCCTCTCAGTGTGAAGCCATTCCCCCTTGTTCTGTCACTACATGCCCTTGTGAAAAGTCCCTCTCTATCTTTCTTGTTGGCTCCTTTCAGGTACTGCAAGGCCACAGCTGAGTCACCCTGAAGCCTCTTTTCCAGGCTGAATAACCCCAATTCTCTCAGCCTTTCCTCACAGGAGAGGTGCTTCATCCCTCTACACATCTTGGTGGCCTCCCCTGGACTCACTGCATCGGGTCCATGTCTCATGTTCAGGTGGAACTGCTTGTGGTCCAGTCTCTGCTTGTGCTCTCATCCTACTGTTCCCCACCACTGAGAAACAACCGGCTTCATCCTCTGACCCCTCCTTCAGATACTCATGTACACGCTCAGAGATACGTTGTTCCCTGCGTCACTTCTCCCATGTCCCAGCTGTAGCTGTGCTTCCCGCTCCCTGCAAAGCTGCGTTTGCTGAGCTCTGATTTCCTCTGTCCCCCCAAGCACGTTCTCCAGGCTGCAGCGAGTGCAGTCTGTCCCCAACAGGACCCATTAATGAGGCAGCTCTGGCATCTGCCATGCTCCATCCAGGCTCCGGGCTCAGCTGAGCCCCGAGGAGGGTGAAAATTCAGTGTGTTTTTCACCAGCACCCTCAGCCCTGCCAAATCCTTTCCCCGTGACGGCGTAAGCGATATGGGACTTCCCAGTGCCTCGGTGGCAGGCTGCCTGCACCATCTGTTCGTGTCACTTTGGTAATTAACCAGCGCTGCCCGCGGGCTTTGTCTGCTGACAGTGATGAACGGCAGTGCCATTCCCCACGGCACGGCCTTGCCGGGCACTGGGAGATGCCGAGATGTGGGCAGGTAGAAGGCGGGGGATGCTGCACTGTCTGCATCCATATTCACATCTGGGCTTTGCGGGAGCAGTGCTTGGACGAGCTGAGGGATTGTACACTCAAATCCATGCATGACTGACGGGGCTGCAGGAAGCCATGAGTGGGGAAGAGGAGCCGGAGCTAGCTGTGATCAGGTTCCTCTGCAAGCCAAATTTCTTTTCAAGTCGCTGTGGCCCTACAGAAATGGCATGGCATGTGCTCGGGCTGTGCGTGCGTCAGAGAATTAGCTACTAAAGGTCAGCTGCAATGGAAGAGGGGCATAAACCTTTGTGTAGTTTATGGAGATAAGCTGGAGCCGAGAAGTTGGGCTCTGGGTTTCAGACAGCTTCGTGCTGTGCATGTGGAGAGGGCAACAGAAAGGGGAATGGAGAGGTTGGGAATGGCTCCGTCTGAGATTTATAGTTCATTTATATGACCTGAATTTATTAAGCCCCCATTCTCTTCCCCCTTCAGTGGAGAAAACCGGAGCTGATCCTCAGGTTCAGCCCTATGTTTACAAAAGACTTTTCAACCCTCACTGAGGTTGCTATGGAAATCACACTAGTTTGTGCCTCGTGTTTGTCTTACCAACCTGATTTGTAAAAGAATGGTGTGAATTTAGTGCTGGCTGAGTTCCCAGCTGGCCGCTGGTCCTGGAAGGCATCCTTGCAGTCTCAGCCCTGGCTGGAGCAATGCAAACAGCTTCCCCCATGCTGTCTGCCAGCTCCTCAGCTCCTGTGCCTACGGCTCTCCCAGCCTTGGGTCCTCTTCAGCCCACCAGGACAGAAACCTTACAGTGCCAGGCTGGACTCAGCCTCGCCAAGGAAACACCAGTGCCGTTGCAGAGGCGGGGGCAGGTACGTGCCCCTGGCCCCTGCTCAGTCACTGCAGAATGTTTTTTAGAAGCAGAAATGTAGATTGATTGAGTTTCCTCTCTGTTTAGTCCTGAGCAGAGCACAGGAAGGTTTAGCTTCCTAACCCCTAAATTGTCATGGGTGTGAGTAATGAGCTGCCTTCCACTCCCCACGGGCTGCAAGGGAGCAGCTGGGCAGCTGGATTCACTTGCCCAAAGCCTGGCTTGTGCCAGTGACAGCTCACAGCCCTGGGAAACAAACAGGCCTGTCATCCAACAGAACCCACACAAACCATGGGGAAAGAGACCTGGGAGCATCTCACTCTGAACCTACATGTCTAGGGAATTGGTGCAGACTCTTGATGTGTTAACGCATGTATTACTTTTAAAATATATCTATCCAAGGAGGGGGGCCAAGCCTGTTACTGGGTCATTCAAAAATAGAAAGTATTTCATCAAAATACAAAGCCCACGAAATCGGAGTGCTGGGCTGGAATCTGGGCAGAACTGGGCTTACTGGGGTCACGGGATTTGCATTAGAACAGGGAAGTGTTTTCATAGGTCAGTGCAAACCAAACAACAAAACCCAGCTCCCTGATCTGTATCAAAGCTCGACTGTGTTTCTGAGGAGTTTTCCTACCAAAGGGATCTTTCTGGAAGCACTGCAAGCCTTTGCTGAGACAGACCCTGCATGTCAGGCAGGAGCAGCTGTGGAGCTCCAACACCCACGCGAAACGTGGGCGGCTGCGCTGCTGAAATCCCTTTGCATTTTTGTCCTGTTCACAGTCTCTGCCGGGCACAGCTCAGAGCCAGCATCCCACAGATCACTTCAACATCCCTGCAGACTAGTCCAGCATCCCTGCAGACCAGTCCTGTTCCAGCCCTGGGCAGAGGGCACTGCTGGCATGGAATCCAGCCCAGCCCACACACTCAGGTTGCCTTCCCCTCGTTTCACTACCAGATCTCTGTGTTAGATGCAAAGGGCTGTTGCATCCTGCCCCTGCCTCCCAGGAATCCTGTGAAAGGAAAGGAAGGGATGTTTTCCAGCAAGACTGATGCTGTAGTTAGTCAATTTGCTAATAAGCTGAGGTGTGAATGGTTTAGGTTTAGGCAGGAAGAGCAGCTGTCCCACCGGCACATCTCTCAGTGCCAGCCTTGAGGGCAACAGAGTCATCCATAAGGAGGGGCTGTCACCTCCCCAGCTGCCCAGCTCCTGATGGATGAGCTCTCCAGGAGCAGTGAACAGGCTCTGGAGCCTTTCGGGGGAGGGAATATTTTTGTGAATGGATCATGACACAACCGAGGCCTGATTCCTGAGCTGAGCAGCTCCCTCCACCCCCCCAAAAGCCATGTGTTAGCTGCGTCTGTCACGCTGCTTAGCTGTGACAGAACAGTCTGGGACAATGCCCCAGTTTTCCCAGGGGATTCTCAGCAGAAAAGAGCACACTAGAAAGACATACAACGTCAGAACACGAGGCACTGCCTCCCAGGAGAGACGAGGGCATGGGAGGGGGAAAGACAGGCCGTGGGGAATGGCTGCTGGGGGATGCTCTCACATGCCTTTGGCAAGGGAGGTCCATCTTCACACCCCAGGGCTGCTCATTCCCTATTATCCACACTGCTCTGGGGAGGGAGGCATTTCAACCTGCACCAGTGACAAACCAGACAAAGAAAAAAAGAGACTGGAAGGAGATAAAACCCTGTCCTGTGCAGCCTGGACCCATCCTCCTCCTCCTCCTCCTCCCTCTGCTCAGCAGTGAGAAAAATACCCCTCTCTCCCTCCTCAGTGCACTCCATCAGGCAGAGACAGACTGAGCCCAGCCCCAACTGCCTCGAGATAGCGACGAGGTCTACACACATGTGACATGACAGCACCCTCCCTCCCTTTTATCCTTTCTTCATGTAGCAAATCCAGCAAAACTCCAAGCTCATGCTCACGTGCTGTCCTTTTTGCAAGTGATTTTATTTTAAAACCGAAACTCGAGTTCTCCATTTGTTTATCAAGTCCCCCTCCCCCTTTTTTTTTAAATAAAATTAATTTATTCTACACAACAGTAAACTCTTCCAGACTCTTCCCTATTTACAAATTAACATTTTTGCTTGCAGATCTTTGCTTTCCCCTCCTTTTCCTATCCTGTGACACAAAAAGTGAGAAACCAGCCCGTATCTGAAGGTCTGTAAGGCAGTGCTCCCATCCAGCCCCTTGGGACCTCAATGAGGAACCAGAGTGATGATGTCTGTGCCATATCCAAAATCACCACTAATATCCAAAATTCACTCTGTGTGTGAAGGAAGCATGTCC